CCTGTGGCAATATGTAATTAACTATTTATGCTGTCTAATCCCTTCCCCTTCTCCCTCATCCCCACGCCCTCCCAACTAGCAACCATCAGTTGTTCCTCTATATCTCTGAGACCACTTCTGTTTACTTTGCTCGTTCATTCAGTTTTTTAGATTCCACATATAAGTGAAATCATATGGTATTTGTCTTTCTCCGACCGACTTATTTCACTTAACGTAATAGTCTCTAGGTCCATCCATATCGTCGCAAATGGTACCATTTCATTCTTCTTTATAGCGAAGTAATACTCCGTTGTATAAATGTACCACAGTTTCTTAATCCAGTCATCTACCGATGGGCATTTCGGTTGTTTCCAAGTCTTGGCTATTGTGAATAGCACTGCAATAAACATAGGGGTGCATATATTTTTTCGAATTAGAATCTTGGGTTTCTCTGGATAGATACCCAAGAGTGGAATTGCTGGGTCATACGGTAGTTCCATTTCCAGTTTTTTGAGATATCTCCATACTGATTTCCATAATAGCTGCACCAATCTGCAGTCCCACCAACAGTGCAGCAGGGTTCCCTTTTCTCCACAGCCTAGCCAGCACTTGTTTGTTGATTTATTGATGATAGCCATTCTGACCGGATTTGTTTCCTTCTTTAATATGTCTCCGCCCACTAGAAGTTCTCATTCATTGCCATGTCCACCATGCCTAGAACATTACTTTGTGCTGGCTGGTCCCTCCCGCTAAAAGGCTTTCTCCCCACATGTTCACTGGGCTCATCCCCAAGTCTCTCCAAGTCCTTGCTCAAATGTCACATTCTCTAAGACGCCCTCCCTATTTAAAAATGCAGTCCCCTACCCCACATGCTCCCAAGCCCTTTTACCCTGCTTTCTTTCTCCACACTTACCAACTTCTAACATACCTTATCATTTTCTTATTTGTTCCATTTGTTTCCTGTCTCCCTACTCTGGCAAAGAGCAGGGATCTTTGTTTTAGTCATAGAGGCAGTCCCACTGAGATGCTCAATCAATGTTTGATTTCATTATTCCATTCACCCACTTAACAAAAAGCTGTTCGCATAAGCGCCAGCACTCTACCTGCCTCCAAAATCAGTTGGGATTACAGGGTTCCATGCCCAGATTCCTGAATTCTGATCCTAGATTCTAGGTCTGGCCTCCAGGTTCTGGAATCTAGGTTCCAGAATCTTCCCCAGGCTCTGGGATGGGAGGAGGGCCCAGAACCAGGCTCTGGAATCCGGGAGTCCCCAGATCCGTGTGCCAGAATAAAGGATCCCAGATCCAGGCTTCTCAGCCCCCACCTTTCCCCTAATCCAGGCTATGGAATCCGAGATCCCTAGATCCAGGCTCCGGAATTCAGGATCCAGGCTCGCGATCCCGGCCGGAAGGCAGCAGCTGCCGTAGCGCAGATTTTTAAAAATGTGGCGCCCAAAACTCCCGCGCTGGGCAGGAGCGGCGGCGCGGAGTGTGGGGGTGGGAGATGGGGAAGGATGGGGGGCAGGGCTCGCGGGGCTGGACAGTCCCAGGGTCGCGGACTTCTCGCCCACCGTCCGCACCACCTAACCAAAAAGCAGACAGCAGTTGGCCATTAACTTTATAGCGCCCTGGGGTCAGAGGGTCCCAGGTTCGAATCCCGCCCCCGGCAAGCCCTTTCTGGGGTCTCGCTACAGGTCCCGTAAATCCGTGTGCCTCCGTTTCCCGCCCGGAAATGGGCTCGGAAACCCATTTCCCGGAGACTGCGCCATGTGTCGTGCTTAGGGAGCTCGCGGAGTGGACGCGCCAGCTTAGCCGGGTGCCCCAGACCTCCGGCTCCAGGAAAGGGGCGGGTTAGGCTGCAGTTGTCACCGCCCCGCCCGCTCAGCACCAAAGTTTGAAAATTGCCTATGCCTCTCAAACAGCGCGGGGAGCGGGAGCCCGGGCCCCACCCACGGGAAGCGCAGGGCTTTTTGGGACTTGGAGTCCAGTCCCGGGGGGGGGGTGTCTTGCAGAGGGCGGGGTGCTCTGAGCACCCTGAGGCCCCGCCCAGCGCTGAGAGACCAGGGAGGGGACTGGGGGCCAGACTCCATTTCACCGAGGGGAAAACTGAGACCCCGGCCCGACCGTGCATACTGGAGGGGAACTGCTATCCTGGCGGGGGTGAGGGGGAGTGGGTTGCGGAGCAGGGAGGGTGGGGACAGCAAAGGCGAAGACCCGGAGGCGGGTGTATATCCTAGTGCCAAGAGGGGCCAGGGCGGTGGGGAGCAGGCGGTGGGTGGGACCCTGCCTGGCCTTGAATGACAGGCGAGCGGGGATCAGGTCTGGTGGTCAGTTGGAGCTTTGATGGGGAGTGGGTTGAGCTATGTGGGGGGCGTAAGGAGGTAGGAAAACTGATCCCATGCCACCCCCAAACTTCAGTCATTTTACTCCCTTCCTGCCCTACCTCCTGTAATATCACTTAATCATGTTTTGATTTAAACACCCACGTTTTGCACGCTGTCTTAAATATTTTATATTCCTACCAGTAGGAGTGAAAGAAAACAGTATGAGGGCCACAAACACAAGGTAACTTTCAAAAAGACAGCATAGTCACAGTCTAGCCAGGGATACGTGCCGCCTGCGTTCTAGTGACCGGTCTTCTGCTTCTGGTTGGAGGCGAATGTTAGTGAGTGCATATAAGGTGTCAGGACTGGTGAGTACCTTGGTGGATTGGCTAGGGTTCCTGAACGAGGTTGTTAGAGCCAGTTCCCAAGGTGTGAAGTGTGGGGAGGGTTTCTTTGGACAGAAAGAATACCTGGGAAGTCCCAGGGCTACAGGAAGGAAGTAGTTCTCAACTGGGGGAAATTTGCCCCCCTCTCCCCAGGTGACATGGGGCAATGTCTAGAGACATTTTTTTGTCTGTACTGGAGGTGGGTAGTGCTACTGGAATCAAGTGTGGGGAGAGCAGGGATGCTACTCCACATCCTATAAGGAACAGGAAGAAACCCCACTGCAGAGAGGGATGGGGCCCAAATGTCCACGCTTTATCTATTGGCCTCTGGTGGACATTTTATATAGTATGTGGCCTTTGTGTGTGGCTTCTTTCACAGATCCTGTTTTTAAATTGAGGTATAATTGACATATGATATTAGTTTCAGGTATTTGAGGTAATGATTTGCAATTGGTATATATTGTGAAATGATCACCACAATGAGTCTAGTTAGTGGCCGCACATAGTTACAAATTCTTTTGTGATGAGAACTTTTAAGATCTACTGACTTAGCAACTTTCAAATATACAATAGAGTATTGTTAATTATAGTTGCCATGCTGTACATTGTATCCCCAGGACTTATTTATCTTATAAATGGAAGTTTGTACCTTTTGACCCCTTTCATCCATTTCCCAACCCGCACCCCCCGCATCTGTTCTTTGTTTCTATAAGCTCATTTTTTGTTGTTTTTTTAAGATTCCACATATAAGTGAAATCACTGAGCATGTTTTTAAGGGTCCTTCACCACACTTAATTTTAATGAGTCTTCAAAGAGATAGGTAGGTGATTCAGGTGGATAAACTGAGGCACTGGAAAGAAACCCAGTGTCACATCGTGGTCAAGCTTGGATTTTGAAGCTGGCGGTTTGGTTGTGGACCCCACGCCTTCCGCTAGCTGTTTAATGAATAGCTAATGACAGAGTGGGAAACAACGGGAGTTCCTCCCCCGCTTAACCCCCCTACCCCCACCCCCGCCACCTCCTCTGGGAAACTACAGCTCCCGGCGTGCCTCGCGCTGCGCCGGCCGGACTACAAGTCCTAGGCTGCCTCGCGGCGGCAGCAGCGAGCGGCGGGCGCCATCTTGGTCGGAGGCGCGGATTGAATGAGCCCGCTGATCCGCGGCCGCCGTCCCGAGCCGCGCGGGCCCCGAGCCGTCGGTGCCACCGCCGCCGCCATGGCCCCGCCGTTGCCCGGACGCGCGGGCGGGCTCGCCACGCCGCTGTCCCCCACGCGCCTGTCACGACTGCAGGAGAAGGAGGAGCTGCGCGAGCTCAATGACCGCTTGGCGCATTACATCGACCGCGTCCGCGCGCTCGAGCTCGAGAACGACCGGCTCCTGCTGAAGATCTCCGAGAGGGAGGAGGTGACCACGCGCGAGGTGGGCGCGGGCCCCGGACTCTGCGGGGGAGGTTCACTGACGGGTCCGCAAGGGTCTGGGGGGCCCTGAGTGAGGGGTGCACGCTGGGGCAGGCCCCGTCCACTGAGGACTCTCCAAGGGTGTTAGGGTATCCCCTGAACAGTGCTGTCTGCGGCATACCTGTACTTTAAGGGTCCCCAGGGGACCTGGGGACCCTGAGTGAGTGGTGCACGCCGGGGCATGCCCCGCCCACCGAAGGGTCCCCAGGGGATGTGAGGGGCTCTGAGTGAGGGGTGCACGCTGAGGCAGGCCCCACCCTCCAAGGAGTTCGAGGAAATCTAGGGGGGGGTGAGCTAGGCGAGGTCCCGCCCCCAAGGGAGTTGTGGGGAGTCTCCGGGGTTGCGTTTGGTTGTTTCTCCGGAGAGAAAATCGGGGGCGGTTCTCTGGTCTCCGAGAAGATTGGGAGGCTCAGGCCTTCTGAGGGGCCCTAAGGAAAGGCGGAGGGTCTCACGAAGGGGCTGTCCCTGGGAGAATCACGTGGTTTCAGTTCTCCGTGGAACTTTGCAGGCGTCCCTTGATGAGTCCTGGGGAGTTAGGGGGGCTGGGTTGGCGGTTGGGCAGTAGGAGACCTCCGTCTTCTATCCAGGCCTGGGGTAGGATAGGATAGGGTCGGAGGAGAGGGGGTCTGATGCCTCGGGGGGTCCCGAGGGAAATTTGGGAGGCCCTCAATTGGCCCCGGACCCCGTTGACTGTTGGACAGGAACCTGGTAGGCCCTGTCCATCTTCGCCTCCCCACCACCTGGGGATGTGAGGAGAGGAGGAGACACGAGGTTTTAGGGAAGGAACCATTTGGGGCCCAGTTTCACTGCAAACTGAGGCGAAGGGGCTGGGTCAGCCCCGCCCCTTAAGGGGTTGTGAGGTCCATGTGTCTGGGGGGTCCTGGGTGGGGCATGTACCGAGCTGGGGACTGTGGCTGCCAACCTAAACCCCTCCCCTCTTTTCTCCTTCCCTCTGGCCCCGCCCAACTCAAGGGCGGGTCCTCCAAAAAAGTAGGAAGTGCCCACCAGTGGTTCCTGGTGAGCCTGGTAGGAGGTCGGTGTGAAACCTGCACAGCTACTCAGAGCCTCGCCTTCCCCATTAGAGTGGGCCAAATCACGGACTTCTGGGAGAGGAGCAGATTGCGGGGGAGGGGGCACCACTTGCCCTCTGTGTGACCTTGGGCAAGTCACTTAACCATTCTGAGTCTGCTTTTTCTATAAAGTAGAAATAATAATACCCACCTTTTGGGCTTGTCTGTGGGGCCACAATGAGTTAGTATTTGTTTTGTAAAATAAAGGCAATAGAATACAGGACTGGTGTCCAGAGGAAGCACTGTTCTGGGCTCTGGTTTCTGTTGTCGCTGTTTAATAGTCACGGGGACAGGAAACGGCTCAGAAAGTGGGGCTTGGGTGTTGGGGAAGGAAAACGATCCAGTGATTGGGGATGGTGTTCTAGGTTGCTCGGGATTGAATTCAGACTTGGGTTCCAAACTCTGCCTTTAATCTGTGTGACCTTGGGCAGGTCACTCAGCCGTTTGGAGCTAGTTTTGTCAACTGTACAGGGACTAGAATTGTCCCACACTGAGCGTGACCACCTGCTTCAGCAGTGCGAGGGTCCTCAGGATGCCGGCCCAGTTCCTGCCTGCCGGGCTGGTCGGCGCGCCATGTTTGAGCTGGTTTCTTGTCTTTCTCCTGGCCTCAGTTTCCCCACCTCCAAATGGGGTGAGACTTGTGCTGACTTTTAGTAGCTCTGGGCCTGGTGGGTGGGGTGGAAGTGGCAAGGGGGGTGTGTGTGCTGGCCTCACTGGGTGGGCGTGGTCACATTCAGGGGCGGGCCTAGGGAACTTGCCCCGCCTTCTGCTTGTCTGGCCTTTGCTTACTTCTCTGTTGCTAAGGGTTGTTGGAATGCAGGCTAACACCTGGGAGCAAGGGTTGTGGTGGGGTAAACCTGCTGCACTGTGAGCCTCAAGGCTCAAGGTCTGTGGGGGGCTCTAGGCAGTGACAGGGCTAGGGAGGTTCAACCAGGTTGTTCTCCAGGAGCTCCCTGCTGCTTGAGGGGTGAGGTGATAAATGCTTGTCTTCACTGCTGAATGGAGGGGCCTGAATACCTACTGGAGGGAGGGGACCTGGAGCAGTGGGTGTGGGGTGGTCACAGAGGGCTGTCAGGAGGGAGTGACCTAGAAATGGCCTTCGGGTACAGTGGGGCCCAGGCAACACTTAGTGAAGTGACAGGATGAGGCCATTAGTGGTAAGCATCCTCAACTCAGTCTGGCCGGAAGTGGGCTGTGAGTGGGTGGGATGCATGGAGGGAGCTGGGAAGTTGGCTGCACTAGGACAGACGTGGACATGTCACACCAAGGAGCAGGTTACCTGGGCAGCAGCTTCCCACTGGGTGATCCTGCCCTCCAGAGGACATCTGTGGTTGTCACGACTGGGGGTGTTCCTGGCATCAAGTGGATGGGGCCAGGGATGGCCCCAAATGCCATTAGTGTCAGGGCTGAGAAGCCACTTAAGGAACGCTTTGAAGATGCCATTTAAAATATTAGAAGCAGGGGCCAGCCAAGTGGCTCAGTTGGTTAAGATTGCAAGCTCTGAGCAACAGAATCACCAGTTCGATTCCCACATGGGCCAATGAGCTGTGCCCGAGCTGAGCTGCCACTGAGCTGCCAACAGGTGGCAGGATGGCTCATCTGGTGAGAGCATGTGTTCCTAACAACAAGGTTGCCGGTTCGACTCCCTCATTGGATGGTGGGCTACGCCTACCCACACCCGCAACTAAGATTGAACACAGCACCTTGAACTTAGCAGCCGCGAGCTGCCAAAGGGACTTGGAGCTGAGCTAGCTGCGCCCTCCACAACTAAGATTGAAGGACAACAACTTGGCTGTTCCCCAATTCCCCCAATAAAATCCTTAAAAAAAAAAATATTAGAAGCATACCATATGTTTGTAATAAAACCCAAGCAATTCAGGCGCCTGAGGTAAAACTAAAACTTCGTGTTCCTTCCCAGCAGCCAGTGCTGCCTTGCCTGTTTGTCCCATCCACATATACTCTTTCCTTCACACTTGCTCACATGCAAACCCAGCCCATGTACATTCCAGGCCTTTCCCATTGGACATCAGTTGATACCTGTTGTCCGGGTGGGCAGTGCTGGGGTGAGTAGTCACTGCTGATGTCACTGGAGGAACTCTGGAAGCCGCGGGAGGTGGGTGGCGTGCTGGCCAGAGTTTTGTTTGAGAAAGATCTTGGATGCTGGGAGAGGGGAGGAAGGGAAAGTTCTCCAGGGAGCCTCCCCAACAGGGTGTTAAGTTCCTCCAGGCTTCAGTTTCTTTTCCCTTACCAGCACAGGTGTCCTGTTGCTGGTAGGGGTGGGGGTGTTCCCCAAATGAAACCAGGGAGGAGGGGCTGGGTTAGACTCCTGAAGCTTAGGGGAAGGAGCCAGCCTTTGGAGCCAAACCTGTGTCTGCCCATGGAAATCCATGTTTGGTTTTACTTGCAGAGCTGTGTTTCTCAATGGGGTGATTTTGTCCCCCGAGGGACACAGGCAACAAGGAAAAGACCACCTGGGGTTGTCTGTATCCACCCCCGTCCCAGGCCAGCATGTGCTCACACATTTGTTGGGATTCCTCAGTCTTGGTGCAAGCAGTAAAAGATAAAAGGCCCAAGCTGTCCGTCTCTCATGGTGGTGCCCCAGGCTTCTGCAGTGACCACAGTGATGGTCACAGGTGCCGGGAGCACCTGTTAGTGGTTTGAAAGCGATCAGCTGTCTGCTCGTCCTCTATACAAGAATTTTCTAAATCATCCCAGTGCCATAGATCAGGGTCAGCAGATGTTTTCTGAAAAAGACCAGAGTCATTTTCAGCTCTGTGGGCGGGAAGGTCTCAGTCACAACTACTTGACAGGGCCATTACAGTTGGCAAGCTGCCACAGATGGCATGTGGAGGAATGTACCGGTAAAGCTTTGTTTATACGTGCTGAAATGGGCAATCATGTAATTGCCTACATTACAAAAGAGCTCTTTTTATTTTCCTCATTTAAAAACATAAAAACCGGGGCCAGTCGAGTGGCGCATTGGTTAGGAGTTGGCTTGGGATGTCAGCTCTGAGCAGCAGAGTCCCAGTTTGGATCCCACATGAGGGCCAGTGACGCTGCGCCCTCTACAGCTAAGATGGTGAACAACAGCTCCACCTGGCGCTGGGATGCCGTGAGTCGCCGGTGACGGCGTAGGCTGCAGTGGGGCTGGCCAACAGCGGGCATGAGCTTTCTGTGAGCAGCCATCCAATGGCCAACGACCGAGTGCCTCAGCCGGGAAGAGCACAATGATAATACCAACATGCGCCAGTGAAGCAACGTCCTCCACAACTAGACGGAAGAACAAAAGGACGGCAACTTGTCTGTTCCCCTTCCCTGATTCCCCAATGCTGTTCCCCTCCCCCAATTCCCCAATAAAATCTTTAAAAAAAAAATAAAATAAGTTTATTGTTTAAAAAATAAATAAAAATGTAAAAACCATCCTGGGCTTGCAGGCTGGACAAAAAAAGGCAGTGGGCTGGAGTTTCTGCCCATGGGTGTGAGTTTGCAGGCCTGGTTATAGATAACTGCCTTATTAACACACACCAGAAACACCCCGAGAACATAAGTGCTTTAAACAGGACACCGAAATGGGCCAGGGTCCTGGAGCAGGGCCAGGAAAGGGGGCACTTGCCTCAGGCACATAATCTAATGGGAGGGCCAAAATCTCAGTCATGGAGATGAATGATATGTATTTTTAATTACTTTACCGTATTTCTAGGCTGGTTTTAGATTTACAGAAAAATGGCAAAGGTGGTACAGAGTTCCAGTTTCCGTTTTACATCTTTAGTTAGTGTTTCTCAGGACTAACTTACCAGTATTGCTACATCTTCCTTAACCAACACCCATATTTTGTTCACATTTCCTTAGTTTTCCCCTGAGGTCCCAGAACCCCATCCAGGATCCCACGTGACAGGTGTCACATCGCTTTGGGCCCCTCCAGGCCATGACAGTTTCTGACACATTCTTCATTTTTCATGTCCTGGGTGGTCATGAGGACAGCAGGTCAGGAGTTTGGTAGATGGCCCTCTATTGGGGTCATCTGGTGTTCTAATGGTTAGGCTGAGATGATGGGATGAGTAATGTTTTAGTGAAATATTTTTAAAAATTGAAACGAATGGGGCCGGCCAAGTGGCGTGTTGGTTAAGAGTTGGCTAGGGAGCGCCAGCTCTGAGCAGCAGGGCCCCAATTCAGATCCCACATGAGGGCCAGTGACATTGCGCCCTCTACAGCTAAGATGGTGAACAACAGCTCGACCTGGAGCTGGGCTGCCATGAGCTGCTGTGAGTGGCTGGCGGCCAGCATGAGCGGCCAGCAGCTGGCATGAGTTGCCGTGAGCAGCCGTCCAGGGCCCAGCGACCGATCTGCTTCACCCGGGAAGAGCGCAATGATAATACCAACATGGGCCAGTGAAGCAACTCCTCTACAACTAGACTGAAGAACAAAAGGACAGCAACTTGTCTGTTCCCTTTCCCCCGATTCCCCAATAAAATCTTTAAAAAAAAAAAATTGAAATGAGTGAACTAAAGATCAAAACCTAAAGTCCAGTATCAGAATTGCTGGTTTCCCTTTTGCCCTGTGCTCCGACCCTGCTCAGTACTGACTAGTTTCCTGTTGTGTTGGTCCAGCCCAAGATCCTCCTGTCCAGGGAAGGGAGAGTGTGAGAGAAAGGACCCTAGTAGGCATGCCATCTGGGGGGGGGGGCAGGAGACCTTGTCTGTGCAGACCCTCCCTGGGGCTCAGGAGAGTCCTGGAAGGTGAAATGAAAGGAGACAGGGCAAAGACAGGCATGTGAACCCAGGTGCAGCTATCTTTAGAGAATGGAGCCAGCGGCTTTTTGTGAATTCAGAGTTTATTCCAGAAGGCAGTTCCCAGAGGACAGAAATGGAGGGGGCGGCCCAAGGTGACCACCTTCATGGAAGGGAGGGCCCTTGCTCTGTGGGGAGTGGGGAAGGGGGTAAGGGCTGTGGGAGGCAGCCAGGGTACAGGAGGGAGAAGCTTGCTTTGTCTCTGCTCCTACCTCTCTTGTCCTTCTCTTGGAATTGCCCCCAGCAGACCTGCTCTGTCTGTATCTTCACAGGTCAGGCGAGGGCAGTTTATTCTGTGCCTCCATTTTCCCATCTGTGAAATGGGGCCAGGAGCCCATATTTGACCTTTCCTGTGGGATGACAGGTCTGGGAGTTGCTGGAGTGAGGCACGACATCCAAGCCTTGGCTGGTGGGGGGGCGGGGGTAGGAGTGTCAGACTGGCTGTTAAGTCCCACTTTGTTCGGATATGCCCAGGACATCCTGGTTTTCACCCTGGAAAGTTCCACATTCGGAAAATCCCTCAGTCCTAGGCAAACCAGGATAGTTGGTCACCCTACTGGGTGATGAGTCCTTGGCAGGTCCCCTAAGCCCCTCTGCTCGGGCCTTTCCTGTGAAAGGGACGGCAGTGACCCTCTCAGGATCTAAGCTGACCCTGCACAGACACACTGGCATCCTGTAGCTTTGTGGCACATGGTGCAGCTATCCGAGCCAGCCGCCCTGAGAATGGGTCTGCTTGCCCTTCCGCCTTCTTTTTCAGCACCAGATCAAGTCTTCAGCTTTACTGAGATATAACTCCCATCTCATAAGCTCACCCAATTAAATTCTGCAGTTCAGTGGTTTACAGGACATTCACAGAGTTGTGCAACCACCACCTCTATCTAATTCCAGAACATTCCATCACCCCAAAAGGAAGCCCCATGCCTATTAGTAGTTATCCCCCATCCTCCTCCCCAGCCCCTGACAACCACTAGCCCACGTCCTGTCTGTGGGTGTGCCTGTTTGGACATTTCACTTAAGTGGAGTCACACACTGTGTGGCCTTGTGTGTCTGGCTTCCTCTCACTGAGCACCGTGTGTTCAAGGTCCACCCACGTTGTGGCGAGTGTCAGCGCCTCCCTCCTTTTCATGGCCGAGTAATATTTCAGTGTGTGGATGTGCCATCAGCTGATGCACACTGGGCTGTGAACACATGTATGCAGGTTTTGTGTAGATGTGTGCGTTATTTCTCCTGGGTGGACACCTAGCAGTGGAATTGCTGGATTATGTGGTTACTGTTTAACCACCTGATGGACCGCCACTTTTCCACAGTGGCTGTACCAGCCACGCCTGCAGGTTCTCATTTCTCCACATCCTTGCTAACACTTGTTAGCGTCTGTCTTTTTTACTCTAGCTGTCCCCATGGGGTGTCTCACTGTCCTGGTTTGGTTCCAGGTTTTGTGAACACATGTGTGTGGCCCTGTGCCCTTTGATATGGGGGTGGGGGGGCAAGAAGGCCAAAGGGAAATATAAGTGTGCACCCAGCTGGTGGGTGTGACCTGATGGGACAAGTGACTTGGGCAGGCTGGGGTTGCCCAGGGCTGGTGGGACTGAGCTGGTTGGGAGGCTTCTGTGGTTAATAGGTGTGTGTCCTGCAACAAGCCAGCCTGGACACACGCTGTCAGGGTTGCGGGGGGGGTTCCTTCACCTAGACCAGCGGTTCTCAACCTTCCTAATGCCGTGACCCCTTAATACAGTTCCTCATGTTGTGGTGACCCCCAAATAAAATTATTTTCATTGCTACTCTATAACTAATTTTGCTACTGTTATGAATCGTAATGTAAATATCTTTTTGTTTTCCAATGGTCTTAGGCGACCCCTGTGAAAGGGTCGTTCTACCCCCAAAAGGGTCGCGACCCACAGGTTGAGAACCGCTGACCTCGACCCTGCTGTCTTCCCAGGTGAGTGGCATCAAGACATTGTACGAGTCAGAGCTGGCTGACACCCGCAGACTGCTGGATGAGACAGCCCGAGAGCGCGCCCAGCTACAGATCGAAATAGGGAAACTGAAGGCTGCAGTGGAAGAGGCCAACAAAAGGTATGGGGTGCAGCTGGCCTAATGTTGCCCCAATTCCAGGGCTGTGGTGTGTACAGGGTGGGTTGGGTGCTGGGAACAGGGGCTTATCACCACCACCTTATCCTCCCCCTCCCCCATGGCAGGGACTGCTCTGGGTTTTTTTGTTTGTTTGTTTTTTGTTTTTTAAAGATTTTTATTGGGGAATTGGGGGGATGGGAACAGCGGTGGGGAATTGGGGGAAGGGGAACAGACAAGTTGCTGTCCTTTTGTTCTTCAGTCTAGTTGGAGAGGACGTTGCTTCACTGGCCCAAGTTGGCACCATCATTGCGCTCTTCCCGGGTGAGGCAGGTCAGTCGCCGGCTTC